GCAGGGTGGTCGTATAGGTGTATATATATACATACATACATATATATATACACACACTAGAACCATCGCGCGCGCTTCGCGCGCGCTCAGGTTCTAGCAGGCCCCAGACCTTGACGAGTCCATTGCTTCACTGGGTGGAGGCCGTATGAATCGGGTTCCCAGAAGGCCTTCTGGGAGCATGGGCTTGGGGGCGTCTTAGGGAGCCTGTTGGGGCGTGCCGTCGTCGTCGTCGTAATGTCGTCGTCGCCTATTGGGGCGCGCCGTCGTCGTCGTCGTCGTCGTCGTCGTCGTCGTCGTCGTCGTCGTCGTCGTCGTCGTCGTCGTCGTCGTCGTCGTCGTCGTCTTCGTCGTTTCGTCGTTTCGTCGTCGTCGTCGGTTCAACCCAGACAGCTCTCCTGTAGCATGATGGTACTTCGAAGCCTCTGGAGACACGCGGGCCCATGATGAACCATGTCCCTGGAAGGCTTTCTGGGGACATGGTTTGTTGGGGTGTGTTGGGGGGTCTCTTGGGCGTTCCCTGGGGGACCCTTACGGGCCTCCGGGAACTCTCGGGCCCATGATGAACCATGTCCCCGGGAGGTTCTGGGGACATGATTTCTTGGGGTGTGTTGGTGGGCCTCTTGGGCGTTCCCTGGGAGCCCCTTGGGGTCTCTTGGGGCTTCCTGGGGGCCTCTTGGGCGCCTCACGGGGCTTCGTGGGAGCCTCTTGGTGGCCTCCGGGGGCCTACAGGCGGCCTCTAGGGCCAGAGACATCGAAGTATCGGTTGGCGGTCCCCCTGTGGGCCCTCTCTTGGGGAGCTCTTGGGGCACAATTGGGTTGTCTGGGGAGCCTCCTGGGCCGTCTTGGAGCCCTCTTCCGGGCCTCGTGGCCCGCTTTGGAGCGATCTGAAGGGCCTCCGAGCGAGGCCGTGAGGTAGCGCTGGGAAGCGGGGGAAGCGAGAACGCCCAAATCCTTCAAAAACCATACGAAAATTAGTGAATCTTGCCTCCCAGGGCCCTCTTGGGGAGCGTCTTGGAGCGTGTTGGAGTCCTCGTCGGCCGTCCTGAGGACATCTTGGGTGTCTTCGGGGCCTCTTGGGACTGTCTAGGGCCCTCTCAGGACCTCCATTAGCCTGTCGCGGCCTGCTTCGGGGCGGGCCCGGGCCGCCTCGGGACCCCTCTGGGCCTTCTCTTGGCGCGCTCTTGGGGCACAGTTGGGTTGTCTGGGGAAGCCTCCTGGGCCGTCTTGGGGCGCTCGTCAGGGCCTCGTGGGCCTTCTTGGAGCGATCTGAAGGGCCTCCGAGGCCGTGAGGGAGCGCTGGAAAGCGGGAAAAGCGAGAACACCAAAATCCCAAACACTCGGAAAACGAGCGAATCTTGCCTTCCAGGGTCCTCTTGGGGAGCCTCTTGAGTCCGTACTGGAGCGTGTTGGAGTCCTCGTCGGCTGTCTTGAAGGCATCTCGGGCGTCTTCGGGGCCTCGTGGGACCGTCTTGGGCTCTCTCGGGACCCCCTTAGCCTGTCGTGGCCTGCTTCGGGGCGGGCTCAGGCCGCCTCGGGAGCTCTGGACCCCCCCCGCAACCCCCGGTGGGCACCGATGAGGGGAACAGGCAGCGGCCCGCCCCCCCAACCCCCGGGGCCTACTCCGAGATAGAGCATCATGTTCCCGAAAAGCTTTCCGGGAGCATGATGTGTTCGGCTCTCTAAGAGGGGGGCCTCTGGGAGCTTACCGAGGGGCGCCTTTTGGCCTTGTCGGCAAGCCTATTGGAAACATGGTTGGACCGTGGGGAGGCGGAACATGGGAGAGCGCAAGAATGCTTCAAAAACCATTAGAAAATACATGATTTTCAGCTTCTGGGGCCCTCTGGAGGGGCCTTTGGAGTGGAGCCGCTCTTGGGGCGTTTTGGCGGCGTCGTCGGCCGTCCTGAAGCCATCTTCGGCGTGTCCAGGGCCCCTGGGGGCTGTCTTTGGGCGCCCTGGGAACCCGGGAATCATGTTCCCGGAAAGGCTTCTGGGAACATGATTTCGGACGATGCCCTCTTGGGCCTCCTGGAGTCCGTCTTGGAGGCCTCCTGGGCCGGCTTCGGGGCCTCTTGGGCGGGCTTGGGGGGTTCCGTGAGCCCCACAAAACGACCCTTTCGGGCCGTCTTGGGCCCTCTTGGGTCTCTCTTGGGCTGTGTTGGGGCTCCTCGGGGGCGTCTGGGGCACTGTGAAGACGAAGCAAGCGAGTATGCTGAAAATGTACGTTGTACTACGGGAGCGGGCAGATTGTTGCCTCTTGAAGGCCCTCTTGGAGCCCTCTTCGGCCATTTTGAAGCCATCTCGGGCCCTCTGGGGCCTCACTGAGGCTGTCATGCGGGCCTCTTGGGCGTCCTGGGAGCCCAGAAACCATGTTCCAGGAGAGGCTTCGGGGAACACGATGTCGAACGAGGCCCGCTTGGGCCTCCCTGAGGCCGTCTTGGGGGCCTCCTGGGCCGGCTCCGGGGCCTCTTGGGCCGTCTTGGGGGGTTCCGTGAGCCCCACAAGACGACCCTTTCGGGCCGTCTTGGGCCCTCTTGGGTCTCTCTTGGGCTGTGTTGGGGCTCATCGGGGGCGTCTGGGGCACCGTGGAGACGAAGCAAGCGAGTATGCTGAACATGTACGTTTTACGAAGGGAATGGGCATATTGTTGCCTCTTGAAGGCCCTCATGGGGTCCTTTTTGGCAATCTTCAAGCCATTTCGGGCCCTCGCTCTTGGGCCTCACTGAGGCTGTCATGCGGGCCTCTTGGGCGTCCTCGGAGCCCGGAAATCATGTTCCCGGAGAGGCTTCCGGGAACATGATTTCGAACGAGGCCCTCTTGGGCCTCCCTGAGGCCGTCTTGGGGGCCTCGGCCTCCTCGGCAGGCTTTGGAACCTCTTGGGCCGTCTCAGGGTGGTCCGTGAGCCCCACAGGCCGACCCGTTTGGGCCGTCTTGAGCCCTCTTGGGTCTCTCTTGGGCTGTGTTGGGGCTCCGCGGGGGCGTCTGGGGCACTGCGAAGACGAAGCCAGCGAGAATGCGGAAAATGTACGTTGTACTACGGGAGCGGGCAGATTGTGCCTCTTGAAAACCCTTTTGGGGCCCTCGCGGGGCGCTCTTGGGCGTCTTCAGGCTTTCTTGACCATTTGTACGGCCCGCGTGGCATGTCGTGGGCAATTTGGAAGCGGCCCGGGGCAGTCCTGGGGGGTATCTGACCCCCCAAAGGTCCCGGGGGGCGGCCATGGGGACGGCACCGATTTTGGCTCCCCCTCTTGGGCTCATCTTAGAGCCGTCTTGGAGCTCTCCTAGGTCGTATTGGGGACCTCTTGGGGTGTCTTGGCCCCCTCTCGGGACGTCTTTGGAACCTCGGGCCGTTTTGGGACTCTCTTGGGGGCCTCTTGTGCCGTCGTCACCGCTGTGAAGACCGACAAATCGTAGATGCTAGAACTATAAGTTTTCCTATGCAGAATCAATGATTTCGGCCTCTTGGGACCCTCTTGGAAAGCCTCTTGGGGCGTCTTCGCGGTCTCTTGGGCACTGTGAGAACCGTCTTGGGCGTCCAAGAGCTAGCTTTGAGCGCTCCGGGGCCGCCATGGAACGTTTTGGGAGCCTCACGGGGCCCTCTGGCCCCGCCTTGCCCGCCCCTCGGGCTGTCTTGGGCCGTGTTGGTAGCCTCTTGGGGCCGTCTTTGGGGCCTCTTGTACCGTCGTGCACGCCGTGAAGACCGAAAATACGTATATGCTAAACATGTACGTTTTCCTATGAAAAATCAATGACTTGGGGCGCTTGGGGCTCCCTTGGAAAGCTTCTTGGGGCGTCGTGGCGGCCTCTTGGGCCCTATGGGGGCCATTTTGGGTGTCCAAGGGCGATCTTTGAGAGCCCTGGGGCCGTCTCGGACCGATTTGGGAGCCTCTTGGGGCTCCGTGGACACGTTTTGGCCGCCTCTTGAGCACGCCTTGGCCGCCTCTGGGGCTGTCTTGGGCTCCTCTTGGGGCGTGTTGGGAGCTTCTTGGGCCGTCTTGGGGCCGTCGTGGGGGCCTCCTGTACCCTCGTGCACGCCGCGAAGACCGAAAAAACGTATATGCTGAAAATGCACGCTCTTCTGCGCAAAATCAATGATTTTGGCCGCTTGGGGCTCTCTTGGAAAGTTGTAGCGGTTTCTTGGGCTCAATGGGTGCCATGTTGAGCGTCCAGGGGCGATTTTTGAGCGCCCTGGGGCCGTCTAGGACCGGTTTGGGGGCCACTTGCGCCTCCCTGGGCACGTCTTCGGCGCCTCTTGGGCCAGACAAGGGCGCTCCCGGAGGCCCGATCCCGCCATGGGGGGTTGCGGTCCCGGCCACGGAGCCCCCGGCCCTGTAGTCCGGTATGTATCTCTCTCTCTTTCTCTCTCTCTCTCTCTCTCTCTCTCTCTCTCTATATATATATATATATATATATATATATATATATATGATGCAGGGACCCCAACCCGCACGACCAGGGATGGCGGAAGCCTGTTGGATGTCCACATTTTCACAAAGCATCGAACTGCTGACAGCAGCTGTACATCAAGAGAAGGTTCGCAGTTGAAACTGAGAAGACTCGAGCGCGTGCACGCATACTTCACCGAAAGCCAGGCGGCGGTGGGTGAAGGCGGACGGCGCCGAAAGACCTTCAGAGCACAAATGCGCACGGTCGTGCTCGAAGAGAGGCGCGGCGCAATTATCTTCAAAGAGCGTCACTATGCAGGGACCCCAGCCCGCACGACCAGGGATGGCGGAAGCTTGTGGGATGTCCACATTTTCAAAACAAAACAAAAAAAACATCGAACTGCTGACAGCAGCTGCACATCAAGAGAAGGTTCGCAGCTGAAGCTGAGAAGACTCGAGCGCGCGCATACTTCACAGAAATCCCGTATTCATCCCGCATTGGGAGCTGGTGAGAATCGAGACATAAGCGAAATCACCTTGACCTCTGGCCGCTGAAGACAAACGATTGCTTGGCGGCCAGCTTCCGAGAGGCGAGCGCCGAAGCTGAGAGCTGAGCGCGAGACAGCTTGGCGAGCTGGCGAGTCAGGCGGCCCGCCTTTTCGTGGCGCCGCACGCTGGCGGCGCACTTCCACCGCCCGCGCCGCTGCGCCTCTGCAAGGGCCCGGGCCTTCAGGGCGAAGTCCGACGAGGCGCCGCCATGCCGCAGGGCGTGCGGGCAGAGCCTGAGCCTCTGCAAGCCGGCGGCGTCAGCCGCCTGGCGGAAAGCCAGCTGGAACTCCCTGACCCCGAACGGGAAGAGCGGCCTGGTGCTGGGTGTGGCTAACTTCAGGTCGCGAAGCAGCCTGGCCGCCCAGCGACGGGGCGTGGTGCCGGGCCCGCCGCCGCCGAAGGTAACCGCGTCGTCGCACTCGCCTGACTTCGCGGTGGTCGACGGCGGCGCGTCGGGCGGCGAGCTCGGCATCAGGGTGATCGAGACCTGGGGGTAGCCCGACGTCGCCGAGTGCTGGAGGCAGGTGACGTCGCAGCTCTTGATGCTCAGCAGTTCGGAGAGCCGCAGGTAGCCGTCGAAGGCGACCGCCACGGCCGCGCCGAGGAGCCGCTGCTGGAGGGCGGGAGAGCTCAAGCACGGCTCGATGATCAGCACCGCGGCCTCCCAAGGGAAGGGATCCCTCTGCTCGCCGGGGGCTGCCTTGGAAGCCCTTCAGCGTCGGGCGCGCCTGCGGGAACTCGGACGCCTCCTTGAGGTTGAGACGCCCCTCGAAGGCGTAGCCGTACAGGGCCGCGCGCGCCGCGAAGATCCCGTCGCCCGCCAAGAAGACGTGCTGCAGGTAGTCCACCATCAGCTTGTCCCTCTGCGCGGCTGTCTGGCCCAGGTAGTGGTGGAGGGCTGCGAAGCGCCGAACCTCGGCCGCAGCCTTCACGTAGTGCTGCTGGGTCAGCGGCTTGACGCGGCGCCTGGCGAGGAAGTCCACGCGGGCCACGTCGCTGTGCCCGGCGCGCTGCTCGCCAATCGCAGTCCGCGGCCGCCGCGCTCGGGGCCGGCTGATCGGCGCCGCGGCCAGGGCCCGGCGCGCCGACGCAGCAGGGAGCCGCTGGCGCTGGGGGCCGCGGCGGGCGCTGGCCCGCTCCGAAGCGGCGCTGGCGGCACCGCTCGGCAGCCAAGGCCTGCGAGGCGCTGCTGCCCCAGTCGACCTGGCTGGGACGCCACTCCTGGTGGCCACGCCGGCGGCGGCTGCCACGCGAGCCTCCCCGCGGCATCGAGGGCGAGGACCATCGACCCGGGCGGCGCGAGGGGCGCGCGCTTGCAAGATGCCGGCCCGCTTTCGAGCCAGCGCCTCTGGATATCGACCAGCAAGACTTGTCTTCCAGGCGGTGCCCTTTCCTGGGCCGAGCCGAACCAGGCCCTCAAGGACCTCGTGAAAGTGATCACGGGAACAGCTGGCTTCGAGGGCCCGCAGAGGCTTCAGATCTGTGACGATAGTTGTGGGCTCCAGGTAGCGGCAATTGTAGTGGCAGTAATGCATGTGAACGAAATAATGACGGTGGCGTTCCAAGAAAGCGATGACCTCGGGACACTTCCAAAGACGAGATGCTGAAGGATTCTCAACTGACCATGTAACTCCAAATCGAACGCGCAGGCGAAGGATGTCCAGCGCAAAGGCAACCGAGCTGCTACCCGAGGCCAAATGCTTAGCCCTGCTCCTCGCTGGGGTGGCCAGGCTGAAGGGCGTGCAAGGGGTGCCGAGGTGGACGTGCCACGCATCTCGGCGAACGATCAGCGAGCGGATCACGCCAATCACATTCTTGTCGGTCAGGTCGTGCCAGGAGCCGCGCGAGATGTCGACGGGGACCCAAGCCTGGAGGCCCTCGTCGAGGCAGGCGGCCGTCAGCCGAGCGCAGCCGGCGTAGAGCTCGAGGATGCACCGAGCGCGGGTGCGCGGCCGCCACGCAGGTGGGGCCCAGCGCCTTGGCCCGCAGGGGGCCCTTGGGAGCAGGGCAGCTCGCCGGTCCCGACAGCGGCGGCTGGGCCGGCAGGCGGCGCCTGCGGCGTGGGCGGCATGCTAACGGCGACGCCGAGGTCGCGAGCCGCGCCCCGCTGCGTCTGGCCGGGCGCGAGCCGAAGCGGTCGGCGGCCCTGGAATCGTAGTCGGTGGGGTCCCGCTTGCTCTCCGAGCAGCGGTGGTAGTGCTGGATGCCCGTAGCGAGCTGCCGAGCGGCAGCCTGGCAGGCGAGCTGCCGGAGGACAGGATTGGCACACCTGCCCTTCTCGAAGGCCATCATGGACGAGAGGTTGTCGCCGATCGACAGGGCGCGGCAGCCGTGGGCCGCGACGGACCGGGTGGCCCGGCGGAGACCCAGCAGGGTCGCGCGGCCCTCGAGGACGTGGATCGGCGCGCCGAAGAGGAAGGCGCCGCGCACCACGAGCTGCCACCTGTGCGCCGCCAGGGCGGAGTCAGGCAGGGCCGGGATACCTCCCCGGCAGGCTGCGGCTGAGGGCGCCTCAACGTCTATCCGCGCGGCGCGCCGGCGGCGCGGGCCGCTGCGGCCAGGAGGCGGCGGGTCCAAGCCGGCGAAGGCGGCGTCGTCGCTGGCGCCGGCAGCGTAGCTGGCCAGCGTCGAGCACTCGGCGCCTGTAAGGCCCCCGGGGTCGTCGGAGTACCGGTCGAGGGCGAGGAAGCGCCAGCGGTCGCGGTAGGCCCCGATGTCCCTGAGCTCGTCGGGCTCGAACTTGGACGTAGCCAGGGCGTAGCCCCACACGCTGGCGTCCGAGCAGTAGGCCCAAGGGTGCCATGGGGCGCCGAGGTCGACGCCGGCGAGCGGGATCAGCGCCTTCACGAGGCCGAGCTCGCGCAGCTGCTCCACGTCGAACTTGCAGTAGTCGCAATCCGAGTAGGCCACGCGGTAGAGGGGGCTCAGGATCGCCAGGGCAGGCCGCATGAGCATGAAGTGGTGGACGACGTGGCCAAGGATCACCTCCATGGCCGTCGCCGCGCAGCCGCGGCGATCGATCAGGGCGGCGACGGCTCGGCGCAGCCGCCAGGCCCGGTCGCGCTGCGGCGCGGCGCGGCCGAGGATGAAGTCAGAGCGGACGCCGCAGCAGACGAAGTCCAGAGTCGCATAGCAGACCTCGTGGAAGGAGAGGCCGCGCCTCTCGAACTCGCGGAGGATGGCGCGCAGCGCGGCGTCCACGAGCTCCCGCGGGGAGTCGACGACGTTGGCGTTGTCGACGCATGAGGCTCCCGCCAGCTCGCCGCGACCGAGGCGGGCGCAAGGGGCGCGCTCGGATACGATCCCGGCGGCGTCCGCGGGGATCGAGAGGACATGGCCGATGCCAATCCTCGTGACGTCCTCAGTGATGGCGTTGCAAATGAAGAGCGACCAGCTCCAGCCCATCGCGAAACCCTGGAAGCAAGGGTTGGAAGGTGAAAGAGGGGGTCTGCAACAGGGGGTCTTCAATGGGGGCTGAATGGCCGATGTATGCTCAATGTATCGCTCATGTATGTGATCGGGTACGATTGGCATCCAATGCTGGCGGTCATTGGTGGCCAGTCATTCGTGCCCGCGCGTTGCCCGCGCGGGCACACGCCCCGTCCATCCATTATCGTTCATGCGTGCGGGCGTTCTTGCATATTGCGCGTGGGTCGGCGAAGTGGAGTGCAAGTGTGTCTTGATTGTGCGGTTGATGATCGCGTATGTTCCCAAACGATGACTTCTCGACCCCCAAGACAGATTTGGAATGGGCCCCGCGATTCTCAAAAAATGTGAATTCACATGTTCCTTTCTCCCAAAATGTGAATTCACATTTTCCTTTTTCCCAAAATGTGAATTCACATTCTGGCCCCTTCATAAAGAATCCTACACAAAATTCCAACATGTGAATTCACATTTTCCTTTTTCCCAAAATTTGAATTCACATTTTCCTTTTTCCCAAAATGTGAATTCACATTTTGCTTTTCCCCACAATGTGAATTCACATTTTGCCCTGGCCTTCAAAATTTCCCAAACTGAGGCGCAGTGTTCCGCATGCCAGATTGGCTGGGCAGATTTCGACACTCACCCGACCGCTTTCGCGTGTTCCAGCCTGTTCTTGTTGCGCACTTAGCGCACGTTGCCTTCGTCGCCTTTCCCGAGTCCCCCGCCCCCTTGCTTCCTTTCCCCTCGAGTCTCGCGCGCGGGCGCAGGCGGGGGGCTTCAATTAGTTCCCCCGCCGAACGCAGCAATCGACGATGCATCGCCCATTCATGACTTTAAAAGGAGCCCTGCGCCCGACCCCCACTTTTACCCTCCAAAAGGGTAGACCACTGTGTCAGGGTCGACGTGGGCGTAGGAGCGGCTCACCTCGTCGTAGACGGAGTCCAGGTCGAAGTTCTTGATGGCCATGGGGAAGTCGAAGCAGAACCAGGAGCCGACCTCGAGCCACTGCATCTGGTAGAAGCCCTGGCGGAGGTCGGCAGTTGCCCCGTGGTAGCCCGAGTCGCCGTCCACCAGCGTGTCGGCGTCGAGGCAGAGGCCGCTGAGCGCGGCGGCGGAGCCGAGCTCGGTCCGCGGCGGCCGACGGTGCGTGGCCGAGGGCTCCCGGCCATCGATGACCATCCTCAGCGTCCCGTCCTTCTTGCCTACGAAGAAGATGCTGGCGCGGGCGCGGCAGCGGGTCCGCGCGCCCACCAGCCCGACGCGGATGAGCTTCTTGAAGAGGTCGAGCCAGAGCTTGGGGTCGCGCCTCAAGTTGACGTCCCAGAACGGGTGCACTGGGGCGAGCTCGCCGGTCTCGGTCATCGCGCCCAGCACCGCCTGCGACCGGTAGATGAACTGCTCGGGGTGGTCGATGAGCGGCAGCAGCGAGCCAGGGGCCAGCGAGCGGATGGGAAGCGGTCGCATGCCGCTGTCGAGAATCTTCAAGCGACGCGCTTCAAAGGGGCGGACGGGAGTCGGCCGAGCGCTGTAGATGTCCTTGGACTTGAGAGTGGAGCGAAGCGCATCATCACCGTCCTCGCCGAGCGGCTCGCCGAAGGCAGCCACTCGCTGATGAACGCGCTGGAGAACAGATGCTTGGGCAGCATTCGCGGGCAGGGCCGAGGCGAGACGCCGCGCAGCTGCCAGCGGCGCGTCCAAGTCGTTCAGTGCCATGACCGCCCGGTTGCACCGCCGCCGCACGCCGCGCGAGGTGCCGCGCGGTAGCGCGTCCGTCGGCGTCGCTCTGCCCAGCAGCGGCAGAGGGAAAGGATCGCCGTGAGCACGGCCAGTCAAACATCGAGGAGCCCCCTCGGAAGCAGTGCCTCTCGTGCGGCCCCCGGAGAACCAGACCGCGGAGGTATCAAAGGCCGAGCGACGCTGGGGCGAGCGCCGCCTCTCCGCGGCCGGGGCATCGGCCCCCCGACCGCCGCGTCCGCGTCCACCATCACGGCCGCGCCCGCGGCCCTTGCCGCGGCCGCCGCCGCCGCCACCTCCGGCGCCGTCGCCGTGTCCGTCATCATGGCCAGAGCCGCGGCCCCGCGCACGCGAGATCTGCTCCTCGCGCCACTGCCGCTGCTGCTTCAAAGTGAAAACCTCGTCCTTCTGGATCTGGGCGATGTACTTCGTGTACTCGGGCAAGACCAGGCCGCCGTACTCGTTGACCGTAGAGGCGACGACCGCGTCGAGGTCCTGGAAGTCCGGGCTCCGAGGGTCGCGGGCCACCGCCATCTCGATCTGGACAAGGTAGCGCACCAGGACCTCGATGCCCACGAGGCTGGGAAGGTTCAGCATGTCCTGCTGCTGGAAGGCGTGCAGCGCGTCGGTCAGTCGACGGCGCGCGCGCGTGATGTTGCCGTTGGGCGAGATGCCCGACTTGTGGACAAAGTCCAGGTGATGCGTGACCCACTCCATGCCCGTGGCGCGCAAGGTCCGCATGCACTCGTGGGCGACCCTCTGGCCGCCAAGGGGGAACGGTGGGTCCGAGGCCGCGTGCTGGAGGACCAAGGAGTCCACGAAGGAAGCGAGGCGCTGGCTGGTCAGCGGGTCACGAGTGTCGCCCGCGACCCGCGCGTCCTTGCAGTGGTCTGAGATGAGGGCCTTCTCCCAGGCGTCCTTATCAGGGTCGGCCACGAGCTGGCAGAAGGTCCAGCAGCCGTCGATCATCACGAGGCCGCAGAGGTAGTCCTCGTCGCCTGCAGCGTCGGGCGTGATGAACGCGGCTGGCTCGCTGAGGACCTGGGCGGGGATCTCGCCCCCGAAAGCGCGATGCGATGGGTCGGCGACTCGCCAGACCCCCGCCGCACCTGGCGGCGCCGCGGGCGCCGGGCCGACCTGGCCGAGGACGACGGCGAGCGAGCCAGCCTGCTGCCTGATCCGCGTGAGGTCCACCGCCGGGATCGGGTTGTCGAAGACGTAACTCTCGTGCCACTGAGCTGCAGGGAAAGGGCCGTTGCGCGCCAGCGCGACGACGCGATGCACGTTGAGGTCCAGCCTCTGGACCGAGTAGTCTGGCGTGCTGGCGATCCAGACACCCGGCGTGGGCGTCTGGATGAGAAGGAGGCGGTGATGCCAGCGCAGGCCCGCAGCATCGTCGGGGAAGTCGATCAGGACCTGCCGCTCGGCCAAGTCTAGCGTGAGGCGGGCCGCCATCTCGAGCTCACGCCCGCAGCGCGAGCTGGCTCGGCGTCACCGGCCCAGCAGTCGCCGCGGGCGGCGGCTGCGGCGCCACGCGGTCTGGGACCGGCGGCGCCTCGGCGGCGAGGGCGACGGCGAGCGTGGCCGCCCGAGGCCAGCAGCGAGTGGCGAGCCAAGCGAGGCTCGCCCCGGCCGCCGCGGCCAGCCACACGGAGAGCCAGCCGGGGCCTCCCGGCGCCTCCGAAGCCGAGCAGGGCTCGCTGTGGCTGGAGGCCGGCCCGCTGCACGTCAGCGAGCGGGTCTGGGCCGGGCAGGGCGGGCAGCTGCAAGGCGGGCAGGCGTGCCCCCGCAGCAGCCAGAGCTCGGCCAGGCGCGCGCCGACCTCGAAAGGTTCACGGGAGCGGCCATGCGCGGACGTGACTCCTGCCGAAAGACCTTCAGAGCACAAATGCGCACGGTCGTGCTCGAAGAGAGGTGAGGCGCAATTATCTTCAAAGAACGTCATATATATAGAGAGAGAGAGAGAGAGAGAGAGAGAGAGAGAGAGAGAGAGAGATTTACATACACATACTAGAACCACGCGCGCGCTTAGGTTCTAGCGCAGACGCTGGCGACTGCAATGTCGAATGGTCTCGTCATCGATTCTTTCGTCCCCCTCTCTTTGGCCTCCTCCTCCTCCTCCCCCTCCTGCAAAACCCCGAGGAGGGTTCTGCACGGGAGCCTGGCAATAATGATGCCGATAGGTCACCTTTATACTCCCGAACGGCAAAGCAGGTCTATGTAGCTTCGGCCGTTAAGCACTTGAGCCAAAGGCAGCAGGGTTGCTATTCCTCCCCTGTCACACGCGCGCTTGCATGTTAACACCCCCCCTCGGACGCCAGTCCGCATTGGCTGACGGGGAGGTGCCTATAAACGCAAAGACAGGTTAAATCAAGCAACAGGCTGTATGGACATCGTTATATTACCGAATTCGAAATATCTCGTAACAGCGTTCACGAGCACCACGTCTCTCAGACATGCAACGTGAGCTCAAGTAAACATTCAATCAGTTACGAGTTTAAATATAGCATCCAAAGTTCACACGGCAGGCTAGCATTTATATGATTTTGCGCTTTCGCTTTTTATGTGCCAATACCTGCGGTAACGATAACAGATGCACATGCGTATAGATTCAGCTCAATAGTCTACCGCAACGCTATTGTTAAGCCTGGTTGAGAGGGGAGATGAGGGAGAGCGCAAAAGAAAAGCATGCCGGTCACCTGTCACCGTTTACGAGCGGCGCGGGCGCCTCGCTGACGGAGCACGCGCGCCCCTGGACTTCGGTAAACCACGGTGCCCCACGCTGGCCGCCGTATAGGACGACACCCTGTTAAGGGCCTGCGTCGGGCTGTAATAGTCGGTGTCCAGGTACGCGTTAATGCGCTCCTCGTCGTCCAGCCAGCACCCCTCGTCAAAGCTCTTGGTGGACCCGTCAACAATGTTGTGGTAAGTGCCGATGGCCCTCCAGTAACTGGCGTGGGGGGCCTTCAGCAGAGGTTTACCACCTGGATTGTTGCGGAGGTGCTCTTCGACCGCAAGTCCGGTAAACGGGTTCACAGTCCAGGCCGGGTCGGTAAGCCAGTTGGGGAAGTCGTCGCACGGCAACCATCCAAACCAACAGAGCTTCTCGCGGTGGTCACTTTTACGCTCGGTGATGTGATCAGCAGGCCAGTTGTCACGGTAAAGTGCCCTCATGGACCCCTGATCGTTAAGAGCGACGTCTAGGATGGTCTGGTGCCAGTAAACCGGAGGCTTGTTGATGCTGCCCTTTAACT